AATGAAAMTTAAAGGCAGGATTGTTTGGAAGTAGCTTTGACTTGTCTTTTTTTGATTTTCAAAAGTGGGGCAAGGAGCACATTCTGTAAAGTTTCCACAAAAATCATTATAATTCAAGAGTGCATAACAAAATTCCAAGTAATATCTGATCTTCACAGTGGTTTATTTTGAAGACTAGATTTCAGTGAAATAGCACAAGCATTTGCCAATTTAGTAAAACTAACTACTATACATCTCATTTAACAAAAACAGGAAATCCTGGTAAGATAGAGAATATACCCAGTGTGTTCCCACAGGAGTAAAATTTTATGAATCCTTTTTTTCTTCATCTGTTTTTTTGCTACTTTAACAGAATTCTGAGAAGGGGGAATGCAGAATAGAGACTTACTTCTTACAGTTCTGCAGACTGGGAAGTCCAATGTCAAGGTGGTGGCCTGAGATAGTCAGGTGCTGGASCTCAGATCTCCTTTTTTTCTTCTTATAAAGTCATTAATCCCATGATGGGGGCCCCACCCTCATGATATATCATCTGACCCTGCATTCAAATATCAGCCATATTTGAATTTGGGGATTAGTTTCCAGAACACTGACTTTTGATAACACTTTKGACTCAGTTTGGGTCACACACCATAGCACCCTTCATAGAGAATGCAGTTGGGTAAAGAAGTTTATTAAAGCCTTTGGTGTCTTGGGATTCCCCTCTATGCACCTTCTTTTAAGTGATGCAGTACAGTAGCATTCAGGAAGAAACAGCATATTCCTTTATTAAAAGTGGCTAAAATAGTCCCCACCTAGATTAGTCTTCCATGCATGTTTTCCTTAAATTATATCATTTAAAATCCATTACAATGCATTGTTAATCAGAAGAATGATCTCTTTGAAACCACAGTGTTTCATCCCCTTTATAGATGAAGACCCAGGAGGAAGGGAAAAAATTCAAAGAAGCTGGAAATTACTTGATCTTATGCATGGTGCTTGAGAAGGTTTATCTCACATACTGGGGTTGTTCTAGTCAAGCGACCTGTTTTGTCCTGTACAACCACAGCCAATCCCTGTCTGTGCATATCTGGGTGTCTCTTGACTTGATGAAATGTGTTTCCTAACTTTTAATGTAACTAAAAAAATCCCAGTAAATAAAAGAAATCACAACAAACACCAAAGCAAGCAGTTATGGGTAAAGGAAAAAATGCCTGGGAAACAGGCCAGTGGAGTTGTGAAATATAAAACTCTTTTGATATAAATGTATTTTAGCTGTTAAGACAGGGTTTTGAAGTGCAACTAAGAAAATTTCCCAAACTAACATTAAAATAAGTTTTCCTGTAGTTATGGTTACCTTAAAATTACAGGGAAGCATCCTAAAGTTGATGCATTTTTCTCTTATTCACATGTTCCAGTATCTCTACTAGTGTGAGATGCTCCACAGTTTTAACTAAAGATGAAATGTGACAGCTATTTTGGTTTTGAGGCATTTCATACAAAATGCATATCAGTAACTTTCTTGGTAAATACAGATTACATCAAAGGTATTGTAAAAACAAATATTCCTTATAGTCACCACCAGCAAAATGTATTGACAGTGTACTACATGCCATGCTCCCTTCTAAGCGCTGCACATGCACTGTAAACTTAAGACTGACTATAACCATTAAGATGGGCTATTGAATCCTATTTTTCCCAGATGATAAAAAGGAGGTACAGCATGATTAAATGACTTGCTTGAGGTTCACCAATTAAGAGAGTACCAGGATTTGAATCCATTCTGGGTACTGGGATYTAGGATTTTCACCATTACTTTCTACTCCAAAATGACACACTAAGAAATGACCATGCTAAACATCTACAATATCGGTCAGGCTAATATCTGTAATATTGATCACATTATTCAATATATTCATTATGTAAGGCGCCAAGGGTAGTTTTGCAGACAAAAAATGATATAAAAATTCATATAACTGTGCTCTCAAGTAGCTTCAAAATCTAATGGATGTTAAGATAACACAAACAGCTTTGATATAGCACATAATATGTACTTTTTTAAATGTAAAATTCAGAGAAACTCAGAAAGGCTGAGTGAGATAGAAGAAAGATCACGTGTACATTTTCTGTAAAAAAAAAAAAAAAAAAAAAAAAAGCATTCTTTGGAGTCCTGTGGCAGACAGGGGGTTAAAAGTCTTAAGTTTGAAACCTTCATCATGCTCAAGTTAACCTCTCTGAGCCTCTTTGATCTGTTTCACAGTTATTGTCAGCATTTAACAAGCATCCAATATGCATTCTATCTAACACTTTTCAGTTAAATTAAACATGATTGAAATAGATCAAGCATAAAAATAATTTTTTCAGATAGGTACTACAATGAAGGGAACTATAGATACCACAAGAGTGTTAGGGACTTTAGGAATGGAAACTGGGGCTTTCTTTTCTTAATAGGTTTTTTAAAAGAAAATCAGTCTTTATTGTTAAGAGTGAGAGTAAGAAGATACAGAGATTTCTCAAATAACACTGCCCCACGCATGCACAGCCTCTGCCATTATTAATATTCCCATCAGAGTGGTACATTTGTTACACTTGATGAGCCAAGGGAATTAAAAAGAAATTGGGACTTTTGACTCAGTTTGGGGAACTTGGTCTGGTCTGGCTTGCCATGTACAGCCAGGGAACTGAGAAATGTGACTGGCAACTCTACATAGAGGACCAAGTACTTCTCTCAAAAGGACAGAAAAGATACCAGTGAAATCTAAAAGAGGTATCACAAACAAAAGTACTGATGAGTAAAATAAAATTATTAACAGATATGAATGAAGACTTCATATGCACCAGGCAGTTTCAAAGCATACAACATGTACCATGTGATATAATTCTTAGAGGAGAGAGCCTGGGCGATGAACAGAGCACTACTTGGATGTAGTATAGGAGGAGAGCAGGGAATAGTGAAGAGGGCTCAGATGATGGAGAGCACTGAATGGGAGGCTGTTATATTTCATTTTATTGACATGTCAGAAACAATGCAGGTGACTGCACAGAATGCAAAATAGTCACAGCTCTTCATTAACTAATCTGAGTTAGAGGAGGAAGAAGTGGGAGATGGAATTGAATTTAGTTTGTCATCTCAATTGGGAAGTTCAGCAAAGACCTGAGTTCATCAGGTTGCTATGGGAATGGAAAACAGAAAAACAAAATAAAAAAACCCAAAACATTAAAGATGTCCTTGAGGTTATGCCCCAAATGACTAAGGACCTCTCAATAGTACTCAGCTTTCAGAGATTCTACCACCTCCCAATAGCACCATCCAGGGACCCGGATGGACTTTTGGGGGACACTCAACATACAAACTACAGCAGGAGCTAAAATATCAAAATAAAGGGTGACAACTGGATTCCAGGGAGAATGATGATGAATTTAGTTTGGGGCACACTGAGCTGGGGCAGGTGACGAATTCTCAAAAGACATTCAAGCAGGTAATCCCAAACATGGCATCATATTTCAATATGAGAACAAGTAGGGCAGGTAAACTCAAGCTTCTGAAATAGAATTGCAAAAAGAGCACTGTGAAAGAAGAAATGAATATACAATACAATGATACTTAAATTCTAATGCATATTGGGTTTAGCCAACAGGTTTGTAAAATTTTAAAAATTTAGATTTATTAGGATTTATTAGTAACACAGTCACAGAGAATAAAGTTCAAGAATTCACCAATGATGGTCACCAGTATGTGCTTCTTTGTGGCTTTTAAAACCATATTCCTCATCATTCAAATTTATTCATAATTTAAATTTCAAAGATAGCTTCACAATGTGGATCTTACAGGTCTTCCATCAGTAAAATTAATGAAAACATATCTTTCATGAAAGGCACATAAAGAATCTAAACTAACACATTTAAGGAATTTCGCTAACTTTGAATTTCTTTACAAAGAAGGAAAAAAAAATCCCCTAATGAAACAGATATGAATGTAGTTCATGGTTACCCATACACACACACATATACACATACTTCAACAAACATACTTGAACAAAATGACAACACATAACTAAACTCAAGAACCACTTACCAGCAACGCTTACTGAAAGACTTAGTTTTTCAGGATGAGTAAAAAAAAAAAAAAAAAAANGGGGGGGGGGGGGGGGAATGGGAGCAGGGAGTGCTGTTCATTTGGTTAAAACAAGGTCACAGAGACACCTTGTAAATAATTGAAAGAAAAATGATTCTACCAATGTTCAATATCTAGCTGATATGTAACACTTATTTGACCATACACACAATCACTGATTCTGTTAAATACTATTACTCATTTTCTAGATGTTACTGTCCATTTAATTGTCAAAAATAACAGTATAATTTAAAAAGAAAAAAATATAAATTTCAACAAGAGAATTTGAATATCTAAGAAAAAAAGTCATTTTAACATAGTGTTATAATTAAATTGGAAACAAGTTACATGTGTGAATTTAAAGCTTACATAAAATATCAGCAATAGAGTATTCAAAGATCTTTTGTGTTATCCTGCAAACAAGAAACTATTATGTATGCTAAGTACAAGGGATTTCCCAAAGGAAATACACAAATGAATGTCTCRAAATTCATTATGCTAAATTATTTTTTTACCCACAAAATGCTCTCAACGTCCACCTAAACTTAGTTATAAATAAAAATGTAGTTATTTAAAGTGTATAAAATTAATCTGGCATCACCTTTAAGRTAATGCATGAATACTATCCAGATATTAAAATTCAAAGTGAAAACAAACCAAATGAATAAAAATTATGTGTTTATAAGTCTAAGATAGTATATCCTCAAAAATCTGAAGTTTTAGTTTTTTAAACTAAACCTAAGGTAGAATCAGAGCAGCATGCACTCATTAAATAAAATAATTAAAATGCATACATATTGAAATAATTGATCCAAAGGCAGGTATACTCATCCTTTTTAAGAACGTTTCAATAAAACACATTAAATTTAAAGAACAAAACATGTTATTAAAATAGTCTGTGCAATGTTTGTACAAATAACATTTTTATGAATCCAAGTATACATATAATCAAGATAAGGGGCTGTGACATTTTCTAATATCAATTATTGTACCTAAAAATTTATAGGACATGAACATAAATAAAGCTTTTTAAAACTGGCAAATACAGTAAAAGTCTGTCATTCAGTACAAGGTACTTAATATTTATGTTATTTCCAAAGCCATCACACTAGAATTATAAGTTGCCACTCTTAAACCTAAAAGTAATGTGGGAAATAAAAGTTATAAATACATTATACATACATTTGCATATTTACACTTACACAGAAATCAATATACTAGAGCCCAGCGTTAACACTGTCCTTCATTTTCACATTCAGGACCATATTTCACAATTAAGAAAGGTCCTTCTGTTACTTTCGGTTAAAGAAACAAAACAGAACCACTTTGGTCAGATCCCAGATGCATCTGCTGTATAACTACATTCTGTGTTGCTGCAAGACTCTAGTCTAGAGAGATCCATACATAAGTACTCATTTGGTTTGAAAATGCATTTTACTATTAACTGCAAAACTTAGAAGAGACCACAATCTTTTAGATTATTTTTTATGATGACATCTGTTACAGCATCAAAAACAAACTGCACGTTCTTAGTATCTGTGGCACATGTGAAGTGGGTGTATATTTCCTTTGTGTCCTTTCTTTTATTGAGGTCTTCAAACTGACATTGAATATATGCAGCTGCTTCTTCATATGTATTTGATCCTGAGATGGGAAAAGCAAAGAAACAATGTAAAAAGTTAAAGTACTTACACTGCTAAGCAAAAGGGATCTTAGAATATAAAATTTTGACTCTGTAACTGCATTTTGCCTTATAGAATGAGAGGACTTTTCTAAATGAAAAACACCTAACAACCTTTAAGGACTATAAGTTATCCTTAAAACTAAAATCTCCTTTGCACAGTATTCTATATTTGTTGTGATCTTTGTTCTGACCTCAATCTCCAAATGCCCAATCTTCTTTTTACTCTCATCCTCTATCATCTACAGCCCAAACTGAATCACTAGAGTGCCTGATGATGGCATGCTATTGCAGTTCTAGTCCAGTGGCAGATCAATAATGCTGGCAGAATGCTGATTTTTTCTACCCCCTTTCTTATTTACACATTATTTACACATTAACTAACATTTATCATTTTTTCTTTATTCAAAAATGTACAATGTAGCTTAAGGCTGAGATTACAAATAGTGAATGACACACTTCTACTTTCAAGTTACTGACTAAAGACTTCAGAAATTGTTTGGCAGTACAAAAGAAAACTGCATCGTGCTCTAACCCAGCAAGTTTAGTATACACTAGAYACTACTATCTGTACATATTCATCAGAAGACATATGAAAGACACTCACAGTGGTACTAAAGTTCATCAACTGTAGCTGGCTAATAAATTCTAGTATATTCATACAACATGTTGCCATACAGAAATGAGTGATGAGAACAAAAGTACCACAGGAACACAGAGTAACACAGATCAATCTTCTTAATGCTTTGTTCAACAAAAGAAGCTAGAAACAAAAACACTACATACTGTGTGATCCCACAAGTGTTTAGAAAATATTCAAAATACATAGAAGAGGACAAAATTCAAGATAATGATTACTCTGCGGCTGGAAGGGTTAGAGGGAGGTACTTGATCAATTAAGGCTGGGAGGAGGCATGAAAGGGCTTCTGTGACCCTCCAATAGTCTCCTAACTCCAGTGGTGGATGTTACTTCTCCACTTTTCACTTTGCAAGTTCACTTTTAAAAATCCAATACTTTACTTGTACTGTCTATATACATATAATGGTACTGCAATAAAATATATTAATACAATATGATAAATAAAATAGTTGAATAAAATGGTCCTTTGAATACATTATTTAAATCCCTATTTAGTACTAATAATCCAAGATTATATGTCTGGCTTTCAAGGTCCTCTGTTACCCAGTCTGTTTTGGATTGCTATTCTGAGGCCCTCTACTCCCCATCTGACGCTCCCTTTGTTTCAGAACAAACTGCCCCCTGTGTTGCTGAATGTTTTCCTCTGCACTGTCCTGTACCACCTGATTTCCCCAACCAGGCTTTCAGGTTTGCTCACGACTGTCACTATATATAACTTCCTAATTACCCCAATTCAGATGGGCTCTGTATCATTAAAACCCCCTAAAGACTGTGGAAACACTCTATTTCAGTTTTTGTTACATTGTTTTAACAGGGTCTCAAATTCCTTTTCAGCATTATGTCTCCTAACCTAGAATGTGAACACTTCAAAGATAAACATCATCTTCTATAGCTTGCTCAGTTCCTTTCATGTCTTACATGATAACCCTGTGAATGAAACATGACAAAATCCATTGGGGTGCTGGGCTTACAGAACTCATTATATAAAGGACAAAGAAGTAGTAAAACTTGAATAGTTTACATTTGAATTCTGATGTTGCTAGCAGATAATCATATATTTTAACAAATCAATTTTTATCTTATTAAAGCATAATAAGATTAATGCTCTGAAATTTTGAAGCAATGAACAGTGTCTGCTTGAACCAAGGAAATCACTATAACCTCTTCATTAAAAATATGTTTTGGAGAAAGAGCTTACACTGAGTGCTCATTAACTATAAATATTCAGCGTAGTTGGTTAAATTACTATACCAAAGAGCTACAAGTTACAGGACTGAACCAAGGAGCACATTTCTTAATCTGACTTTAAGTCTTAAGAAAATGACAGCAAAGTGTGTGCATCAAGGTGATAGCTATTTTTGAACACGTGACGGAACCTTCCTAAACAAAAATGAGTATACAAAAAAGGAATAAGAACATTTTTAAGAATGGAGAACTGAGAAGTTGATGATATAATTAAAAAGGATCTGAGTAAAAAATATGAGCTTAGTTTGAATTTCAGGTGCTAAGAAATGTAGAGGGAACCCAGCAGTTGGTAATTCGAGCCTGGGACTCCAGAGAGAAATTCAAGTTGACAAGAATGTGTCAGAGAACAGATAAGTCTGTGAAAAGGCAGAGTGCTGAAGGACTGCAGGACTGCAGATGGAATCCAGTGAAATGGCAACACAGGAAAAAGAGGTAGAGGAAGAGAGCACAGGAGCAGGCAGAGGCTGGAGATACAAATGAGGGTGTGGCTTGGGGGCCAGATAGGCTTGTTCCATAGGAAGCAACAGCCATAAGAATGAGAGCTGAGGCTGAAGTAAGCAGCAATTGAATCAATACTTACAGCATGCAGTGCAGATTTTAAATTATAATCTTAACACTGAAAATATGAAATAATGATCTAATAAATCTTTGTGGGCAAAGATTCTGAAATCAGAAATTCTTGCTAATTTGACAACATAAGCCAAAATCTTGAACACATTGTATACCTGGCAAGGAAAGGGCTAACAAGTACATGCTTGGTTGTTGTAAAATTGCTATAGGTATACAATATTTATGCACTAATTTGGATACTTTTTTATGAATTAATACATAATAGCTACTTCAACATAAAAAACAATAAAAAATAAACTGAAGAACATGTGCAAGTAAGGAAAAACTGAGCTACCTTATTCTGAATTACTCCAATCTTGGAATTTGAACAATAAATAATTTTATTCCTAATAAACACTAAAAATCTTTCTGAATAAGGTAACTTAGGATAACATGACTTTCCAAAAGCAAAAGTTTTTAAGCAAGTCACTGTATAAAATTATTGTGAACCAAAGTATAGCTTCACAACACATAAAAAAGTGCTATAATAATGAGCAGCATTTCCCTTTTGTTTCCACAGAGAATTTGATTAAATGTAGCCTCGTTATTAGTGGTCTGGATGCAGGAGCACAATCGACTTGGGTCTGGAACTAACCTCTATGGGTTTCTCAAGCTCAAGCATTCACACTTATATGAACTGAGCAACCCAAGTACTGACACACAGGATTGCCTAATATTGCCTGGAAATGGCAGTTATTGATGTTACAACTATTAATTATCATTAAGATGGACTAAAAATGTTTTTTATAACGAAATAGTTCTTGAGATTTCTTTTTTTTTAAGCAGGAAAGACTAGACAAGGGTAATAAACTCTTCAGAATATTTCCATTTAGAGATCATTTAAGTCAGTGGTAGCTATAACTTTTGCAATTAAAGCACAGAGTTCTCTTTACTAAAATAAAATCTTATTCAGAAGCCCAATGTGTAAAACAGATGAGAACTGAATTACTCTGTAAGAGAGGAGCTGTAAGATGGTAAGTGTGGGAGGGTAAGTAGCTCTATTCCCAGTGCTCGCTCCTGCTCCTGATTTCAGGTTAGGAGGGGCCAGACTAGATTCAAAACAATGTATGAACCCAATTCCTGATTTTACAGCTGGTGTACTGAAGCCTAGATAAATTGTAAGTCTTGTTCAACGTCAAGGCGCTAGTTTTGAAAAAGCTAGGATTCTACTTCAAGTCTATTTTTTTTTCACTCCCAGTGCTTTTCCCATGGTAGTAAAATTTAAAGCATCATCAACAGTCTCGTTATTGAAGTTTAGATTTCATAAGAAACCTTCTCTGATGAACCTTCTCTGATGGAACCAGAGTCAGCTGTCTCGCCGATTCCTTATACGAATGCCCATGTTCCTTCTTAGTGGTATGGTGCACTGCTCTTGTCTGTTTATAAGTATGTCAGTCTTTGAGTTCAGACAGAGAGCAGAGACATGTTTTATTTATGTGCATCCCACAATACCTCTCATGGGATCTGTTTCCTGGATGAACAAACCAATATTTTAACTTTATGAAGACTTGTAGTCATCACTGAAAATTATCTATCAATCTGCTTTTCCATAAAATGAACACATTTTCAGTAATCTCCTCCACATCTTGTGCTCAAATGCAGTTTGATAAATAATATCCCCTCAAGGTATAAGGATTACCAAGTTGAGAGATTTAAATCAACTGAAATCTTGCCGTAGGGGAAGCTTTACTTAGAAATATATGACATGTTAAGTTATTCAAAGAAAAGCAAAATACCTGTGTATTCTGGATAGCATATAGTGAGGGGGCTCTTTTTGATTTTTTCTTCAAAGAGATCCTTCTTGTTTAGAAACAGTATAATGGATGTATCTGTAAACCACTTGTTGTTACATATGCTGTCGAATAATTTCATGCTTTCATGCATTCGATTCTATAATAAAAAATAAAATCAAGTTTTTATTAACAGCAAGGATCTGGAAGACTATTTTTAGAAAACACAATGTTCAATAAAACAGGGCTTATTAGTTGAAAAAGAGGTAACTCTCCAATAAAATGCATTTCTACCATTTCAGAACAAGCACACTTTGATGTTAGGCAAGACAGGTGTCTCATGGCTTTTTGCACTCAATAATTACTTGCCGAGTGTTCGCTGTGAGTTCTGTGCTATGCCTGGAAACATCCTGCTGCAGGATGTTATAATCTGATGCCCAACAGTGAACATCTGMAAAGAATTCATGATTATAGAGGTCATCTCTGTTTTCATTAAGAAGTAAGTGGAGCTTTTAAAGATTAATAAATTAAATTTAACAAGTGAAATTCAATTAGTCTAACACTCCAAATAACGAAGACTTCCAATTTTTGTTTCTTGCCCTTCCAGGGTCTGTATTCAGCAGGGACACTGAGATATTTTATAGAGCTGAAATGAAAGAAAGTATARTGTTGCACTGTACCTACTGCATTATAATTGTATATACTTGATTTTAAAAACACAAACTGAGCCTATCTCTTCTTTATTTCCCCCATGTTGCATTAAAGTTAATTTAAAGTAATAGTTTAAATTTCTATTTCTACTTCTCCAAATTAATGGCAATGAAACACATCTAAAAATTACAAAGCATAGCACRCATCAAAGATTACTAAACTGGCAGAAATAACAAGAAAAAATGAGTCTTGGATTATCATGGACCTAACTTTACTTTCATTTAGTCTGTAAGTACAGCATATTGGAAATGCACAGTTAAACATACAGGGTAGAGGTAAAACTGACTCTCAATCTCTTCCTCAAGATGTATCTGTGATTCTTCAGCATTCTTTCCTTTTATTATGCAAACAGAAAAGTTGAAGAAAAGAGCCTGAACTTTCAAATAATTTAGGCATAAGCAAGAATTTCTCAAGAATTTTTCTCAGAAAAGTTCTTGGCAACACCATCTCCAGCTCTACATATTTCATGCTCAAGCCTCAAAAAGGGTTGTACTTGCCATTTCTTCATCTTCAGCTARAACCAGGTCATAGTCACTCAGGGCCACACAGAAGATAATGGCTGTCACTCCCTCGAAGCAGTGGATCCATTTCTTCCGCTCAGACCTCTGACCTCCCACATCAAACATTCTGCAAGAGCAAAAATCATGGGTTGACATCCCTTACATGTTCAAAAGCTCCAAGGGGCTCTGTAAAAATGCTCCAAACAGCTGGAGGAATGTGGGATGGAAAGAAAGGAGAAAAGGACTGAGTGGGAGGAAAACAATGTCACAAATTGGTTTTCTCAAAGGGAAAAATGTCTGTTTTTTGTTTTTTGTTTTTTTTTTTTTTTTACATCTTTGATTGCAACTCGTGTATCTCTAATAAAAATAAACACCCTCAACAAACAAGACATTCATTAACATATGAGAACACTTAGGACATTAAAGCAAATACAAATGAAAGGATTGTCCTACATGTAAACACTGAGAAGTCACATGAAGCAACTGGGGAATACAAAGATCAAAGAGTACAAATTCAATTTGCCAGTCATGGAACATTAGGGGAAGAGGGCATGGCTTCCACTTCCTACAGTGAGTTTCTCTCAGAAGCAAGAACCAGTACGTTATTACTTTCATGTAAAGGAGAAACAATTTTAGGTAGGAAAATGTAGGATAAGCAAATCAAATTCAAATAAGGACAAAAAACTTGCCTAGATGAAAAAATAAAATTGTGGTATGCAAAAAAAATGAGAACTGAAAATATGAAATAAATTGTGGACTTACTGAATAGTCGTGGAATTTGGAGTGGGGGAAAAAAAAACTCAGTTTTTACACAATATACAATAGCGGACCATTACAGGTAAGTGAATGAGGTAATAACACTATCAAACTRCATAGCGACAGTGGCCTTTTCCTCTTTTTTCCTGGCAAGAGATTATAAAGTTAAGCAAAAGTTTAAATTTGCATAGACTACATTATGCAACCTAGAAATAACCACTTATATAATGGAAACACCATGCAAACTGGTACATTTTTAAAAGCTCCATTTATCTAGATGGTGCACTAATTAAAACAGTCCCTTGTTTAATTCCCAGGCAAAAAGAAGTTTCCCTACAGAGCAGTATTGGCCTATAAACCAACTCTGAGCACATCAACTACTATTGTTACTTTTATCATCATTTAAAAATGCAGCCTTTGTTTCAGTTAGCCAGAAATTTTTCACTGAAGTGTGCCACATAACAAAAGAATTCTACCACATAAGTCAAAATGGATAAGAACAGCAACAAAAAAGGATAGAATACAAAATGGATAAGATGAAAAAAACGGCAATAGAGGTCAAACAAGAATAAAGTAAAAGAAAATATATTTATCTTAATTGCAAAAACATTTGTAACATTGCTTTAGAACATGACTTGAAAATAATAGATAACCAGAGAGCTAGCCTTTTCTTAGAAAACTACTCTGATCAAATGTTACCTATTCTCTGTCCTTTCATTATAACAATCCACCTCAACCCATCCCACATTTTSTCTCTGTGCTGATGACTTTTGTGTTATCACCTTGACTAAACTATTACAGTTATTTAATCAAACACTCCTCTAGGTGAGGCTGTGAAGGAATGTTCTGGGTGCAGTTAACATCTATAATCAGCTGACTTTAGGTCAAGAAGACTGTCCTCAATAATATGGACAAGTCTCTTGCAATCAAGTCAAAAGGGGCTAAAGGCAAAAACTGAGGTTTCTCAGAATAAAATGAAACTCTTCCACAAGACTGCACAATAGCCTGTCTCTGAGCCTGTAAACCTGCACTACAGGCCATCAGCATCACCACATGGAAGTCAATTCCTTGAAATAAACACAACTTATTGGTTCTGTTTCTCCGGAGAATACCAAAACTGGTACCTAGACAGGGGTGCTAAAAATGTGTAAGTAGCTTTGGAATTGGAAAATGAACAGCAAGCAGAAGAATCCTGAAGCACTTCACGGGGGAAAAAAAGAAAAGAAAAAAAAATCTAGACTATTTTGAAGATACGGGTAATAGAAATACAGGTATTAAAGACTCAGATAGAAGTGAACAGYGGGAAAGCTTTCATTGTTTTAGAGAATGCATATATTGCCATGAACAGAATGCTGGTAGACAGATCAACCTTGAGGCTGTTTATAATGAGGTCTTAAAAACAAATAAAAGCACATTATATCCWGTAATCCCAGTGGCTTGGGAGGCTGAGGATCGAAAATTTAAAGCCAGCAACTTAGTGAGGCCCAAAGCAATTTAGTGTTACCTGGTACCAAAGGTGGGCTGCTGGACATGTTATACATTGTAAAATGACAACCAGTTGGCTGAATTGGGTAGAAGACAGAACTTGTAAGCAATGAATGTAGATGTACAGTGGAAGATATTTGTAAAAAAAAGTGTGAAAGGTTCAATTCTATTTTTCCCTGGTGCTCACAGTAAAACAAGAGCAGAAAGGTATGCTGAGGAAAGAATTATTAAGCAAAAGGAAACCACTCACACACATACACACACACACACACACACACACACACACACAGGGAAGAAGGACTCCTGAAAACAGGTAAATACTGGAGTGACATAGCTACAAGCCAAGGAATACCATGAATTGCCAGCTACTACCAGCAACTAGCTAGGAAGAGGAGAGGAGATTCTTTCTTAGAACTTTGAGAGGGCACAAGGCCTAGCTGACATATTGATTTCAACTTTTTAACTCCCAGAACTGGGAGAAGATACATTTCTACTTGTTTTGGCACCTAGTTTATGGTAATTTGTCATGGCAGCCTGGGAAGTGAGCAGATCCTCTTACCAAGTATTTTTTTTTTCTATAAATTCTTCTTTTCCCTATTGCTCTTCTCATCTCATAAATATTCAATTTGTATAATTTATTTTCTCTTCCATACCCCAGTTCTACCAAGAATGTAAAGATGAAGAATTTTTTTTTTCTCTTTTTTGTTCACTTTACATCCGAACATTGAACACACGTAGCAAGTATTTCACAAATCTTTATGGTCTGAATGAATAAACCATGCCTAAAGAATATTAACACTTTAAAGGAATAATAGACTTTGTTATGTTCAAAATGTAGATCTACCAGTTACTTTGTGGAAAACTTAAATATGAAAAAACTTTAGTCATCATTTAATAAGTAATTTGACTACAGAAGAAATCTCTTCAATGTATATATTTAATCAGTGAAATATAACTAAATGAGGATCCTTCATGTATTTCTTATGAACAAAGAACTTTTGGTCTAAGCCAGTGATTTTCAAACTTCAGTGAATGAGAATCAATAGGTGGCAGATGCGATACTACTGGTCTGGGGAACATATGTTTGAAAGTCAATTAGTTCTTCAGTCAAAGAATAACAACTGGGAATTGAGATCAGAAATGACTGGACTTTGCTTAACAGTTCAGTAGCATTTAGAGAGAGAGAGAGAGAGATGAAGATAATCACTAGAAGAACCACTAATTTTTATCAGTCTTAAATGTTCCATGAAAAGGCAGATAAAATACAAAGCATTATTCATTGTTCGACAAAGAAGAAAGAAATATCTTAATTATTTAATGTTTTTTTTTTAAATTCTGAATCCCTCTATTGTTTAAAAGAATAACAAACAAAAAAGTAGTATGTTCTCCATAAAAAAATATAAGACTTTTGACTAGCATCAAATAGGGAATGAATTTGAGTTTTCACTGGGTTTCTGGAGAGAGGAATAGAGGGGAGGCTGAATACCCTGAGCTGTGTGCTTACCTGTCCTTGGACTGTCACCTAATACCACTGTGATCAAGAATGAGCAATACAGAACTGACCAACTTGGATTTCACACTTATAAGCAGAACACTATATTCCAAAACCTATTACACATTTATAGTAAAGGAATATATATTTATCGTACACTATGCAAATTTTCTAATAGAAGGATGCATTAAYACTGTATCTGAAAATGGTTTAATAAGCTGTTGATTCTTTAATTAAAGTAAACCACATGGGCATGGGTCATAAATGTCCATTCAGAGAGATGATAATATGAATTCTTAAATTAAAATAAATGCCCTATTGCCTCATTTTGAATTTGTTAATGGCAAACACACAAAGAAATTTGAACCTTAGTTTACTCTTTGGTTAAAACCAAAGAATTATAACATGAAATACACTGGAACTACAAGATGATGACTACATAGAGCGTTCCCAGCAGAATCATTCTAAACATGTTTCTGCCCTCATCCATTCTCCAATGAGGAGAAAATAAAAAGAAAAGTTGGGCTGGGTGATGGCAGCATAGTGGCTCAGGAGGGCGAGGCAGGAGGATTCCAAGTTCAATCTCAGCAACTTAGTGAGGCCCTAAGCAATTTAGCAATATCCCATCTCAAAACTGAAAAAGAAAAAAAAAAAAGGGCAGGAGACTTGGCTCAGTGGTCACTTTGGTTATGCATCTCTGGATTCAATTCCAGTACCCAAACAAACAAACAAACAAACAAAGGTTGTGGGGAGGGGAAGCAAAGTTGGAATCATATAGATTAGCATATTATAATTAGATTATAATATGATTATAATCATATAGATTAGCATATTATAATTCTGTTAAATTAATAATTTAACAGAACTCAAATAAAGACAAAATTTATCTGAAGTTCTAGAAAACCCTGTGTTTATTTTGTAAGTCAATAAACCAGAGCACTAATTACTAATTAAATACTTTCCAATAAAATATATCTCACCCAAGAAGCCCAAATGGAGCAACGTAAATGGACTTCCTGGGAATCATGGTGAGAGTCAACTTCACTGATCTTAGGACATGCTTGATGTTGAAATGACAGTTTTAAAACATGCAGCTAGATTTTACCTAAATAAGTGAAGAGTATGGTCTGAAAAAAAAATACTTAATGTACATTTAAGTAGGATGAAAAGTGAATTTCACAGTCAGCTTGCCYTTAAGTATCAAGTAACTGATTTAACATTTGCCATTATCCTTTGTCATCATTTATAGTTTTAACCTTTGTGATTTTTTTTTAAATAGGCAATGATTTGCTTTATCTTTAAGCATTTGACCAAGAGCAAGGCTGTGATAGATTCTCTGTTAAGAATCCTTTTTTTTGGGGGGGGGGGAATGTCCTGATAGAAATTCTAAGATATTTTTTTAACTATAATTATTAATATATATTATTTTTAAAATTTATTTATTAAAACATAAGTGTACAAATTGATGGGATACACCTGTATTAACTGTGTCCGTCCACCCTTCTTTCTATTCTTGGTGCCTCATTTTCCTCATTGGACTTTTTTTATTAGTACATATTATTTATACAGCTACTTAATAGGAGAACTTAGACCTAGAATCCTTACTTGCTTATCTATAAACTCATATCACAATAATTTATAAGAACACAATCTTTAACAAAACAAGTAAAAAAAATCAGAAAGATGCACTAAATTTAAAAACATAAATTCTCTTTTTAACAGTAAACTTCCTTAAAGTTAACAATCACTTAATAGTTTTAAGRTAAATATGATGACAGTTCCCAGATCAGACATATCACATGGCCATTAAGCATCTGTCAAGTACAGTAGTATACCAAAAGACAGTAAGTAATTCAAGAAAAGAGAACACCAGTAGCTCAACATGACACTGGGGCTTAACAGTGAAATAAGCTCTGGGTGTTGTGGTGCACACCTGTAATCCCAGTGGCTCAGAGGCTAAGGCAGGAGGGTTGCATGTTCAAAGTCAGCCTCAACAACTTAGAAAGGCCCTAAGCAAAGCCTTAGTGAGACCTTAATGAGGCCATGTCTCATTAAAACAGAGCATAAAATAGAAAAGGGCTGGGGATATGTGACTCAGTGCATAAGTGCCCCTGGTTTCAATCTCTGGTACCCGTTCCACAAAAAAAAAAAAAAAAAAAAAATTAGATCGCTTTATGAATCAAGCACAGTTAACACGGCCAGACAAACTAGCTATGATCTGAGTATTCATTTCAGAAAGCACAGCAATGATCATTTTTTTTTTTTTTTTGGTGGGTAAAAGAGGACATGGAAAACTGAAATGGAACTTTTGTTCTCTAAAAAACTCAGTTCCTTGAACCACTGATAAATCAGTAAGAAAAGGAAGTAACAAGTGTATTCTCTTTCAGATAGCTGTGGAAGCAATCAGAGGTATAGCTGTAAATATTTAACAGTGCTTTCAGCTTGTAACAGTTAAGCTTTCTTTAGGAAGTGAACCAATGATTTTTATCTCTGGCTTGGAACATTTTGTTAATGTTTTTAGAAATTCTGCTTTACTGTCATTATCATTTCAGAGCATTAGTGTAACCCATAATTCATATTAAAGCCATATTTTAGAATGATTATCTTGAATCAAAACATTTTCAATCAAAGTAAAAGAGAAGAGATAAAATAATAACAATATGGGATACTCTGTTTGTAAGCCAAATTACTTTTTGACATAATTACTGAACAATTTGTTGGTTTTTTTTTTTTTTACTTTTAATCTTTTGTTTTTCATTTTTGATTCTACATTTCTGGAACTATGGGGATGGAGAAGGATAAAAGCTAAGGGAATATATATATATAGTCTTGTAAAGTTTGAGTTTTTACAAAGAATATAAAAATCTTCAGTAACAATTTGAAAAACAAATCTATCACCAGTACAAAACAAATGATCTATCTAAACTCTTATAGTATTTTAAAAACTGGATCTCTAAAAAAAAAAGACATGTAGTATAAAGATTATAAAAACCTTAAAACAGAGCACAAAGGCGTTTTGTATTTATTTATTTATTTATTTATTTATTTTTTACAGGGACAACTGGTGCATGCTCAATTTGAGTCAGACTGTTTGCAAACCTCTGCAGGTGTACAGCAGCACCTGACTGCACCTTATGCATGACTGCAGCCGCAATCTTCCTGAAAATGAATCTCAACCTTCTTGGATTTAAAAACAAAAAACAAACAAAAAAAACCACCAAAGAGACAAAAATCTCTACATATTAAACTAAGAAAAAGAATAAAAATAAAACCCACATATCCACATGTTTAATTTTAGCATTTTTTTTCTATCCAATACTACTTATTAGCTAATATTTATATGGATCAGGGAACATGYGAGTTTTCCTGAGTGTGAATAATGTGACTCTGTTGTGTTGGTGAGATTTAGGCTCTGACTCTGTGAAGGGCCTCACAAGCTGTTCAAGGGCTTGGTGTTCAGTTTCCCTTCTGCTGGGCACTTAAATGGCACTTAGGAAATGTGACATTTTAAATGAATTTAGATTATGAGAAGCTAGTTTTGTTTTTTTTTTTAAACTTGCTGCCCTCTTCATATAGCTTTAAAGTATGGAAATGGATAATACAAGGGGGAAAGAAAGGAAAYAGCTATTTTTTTTAAACCAGTATATATATTTTTTTCAGATCAAGTAAAACCACAGTGGTCTGGGATTTTTATGAAAACATAGAAGTTTTATGTCAGTAGAAAATTCTGTGGTGTTAAATCATTTACTCATGCACATATCTTTGTACAGGATATAAAGCCTCATTTTCCTTTATCTTATTGTTATTATTTTAACTGGAATAAGGCGCATAGAATTGATGAGCAACAATGCACACATACAACAATTCTGACTAGGTGAGTTATGAATTATTAAGTGGAAAATTTAGATAAAATAGCAGATGACTCGACAGGGAAAACTAGATGAAAGTAACTGATGAAAAGACCTTACAGATAAAATAACAATGTGCAAATTAAAACATTATATTTGCTTAAGTCCAACAGTTTTTCTCTTATTTTGAAAATAGTTATTTATTGGAAAAAAGAGAAATCCAATTCTGTAAATTTGTATGCAATGTTTTACTGACCTTCCCTGAGCCTGGTTCCTAATAAAATGAGGGAACAGAACTAAAGGAACTCTAAGAACCCTTCCATTAAAAGCTRAAATTCAGTGCTTCTCTGTTCAGACCTCAGGAAGTTAATATTCAGTACACTTTAAGTAAACATTTCTCATCATGAAATAGTGCAAATATCACTTGGCTATGAATAAGATTTTTCTTGAAAAATTTTAAAAGCCACCCTTCTTTTCAAACATTTCCATAAATAAGCAAATATTCTATTGATAAAACCRAAGGGCAATATTTCCCAGTATTTTCTGTTCAGAAATAAAAGCCAAAATACTATTTTCATTTAAACCACTGTAAAAATTACAGGCATTTATCTGGCATTTTTCCTTAAATAAAAATGAAAACATTCCTTATATGAATCCTTCATTTAGACCTCTTTTGCCCCCCAATTCTTTTGTTTAATCATTTGTGCAAAGTTTTTCTGACTGCAATTTCTAAGCATAAAAATGTTATGAACACTTACTATCTTTTATTTCTAAATTTATAAATAATATGTTTGGAAGCTACTCACTTAAAATGAAGATCTTTGAAAGTAAAATGGGTTTCAACAATCCCTGTAGTTTTCACTCTGGTTCTGAGAACATCTTGCTGAGTTGGGATATAATTTGGTTGTGCTATTCTGTCCAAATCATTCAAATAGCTGAAAAAAGAGACAACAAAACAACATGTAAATTATAAATGTTGCCAATAAAGATAATCCAAAACAAAGACTATAATATCTTAATGCATGCCATACTGTGAAATCACTGGAAATGTTTTTTAATTTCTGTGTAATGATGTAAAACAATCAATTTAGTCTTAGATCTTACAGGATTTCTACTGACTGAAATGAAACTGTTTATAATTCTCCAGCCACCAATTTCTTTTAGTATTTTTAAAACATGCACTTTGTCTTTTAGGTTCAGTAATCCAAAGGAAAAAGAGAATTTATTTAAAAAATCCCAAGCTAATGAACACCATGAATTTATGCTTTTTATTCATTACACTTTTTTGATGAACTGTACTTATGTTCTATATATTACTCTTCTGTTAAAGATTTTAAAAGTTTTAATTTTGGTGCAAGTACTGAGGATACCTTAGGCAAAGGCTGAATGAGATGCTGCTGCTTCTTAGTCTTATCTGCAGGATAAGACTGCACATGACTCCTGTAGTCTGCTCTCAAAACCAACACCCACATTATACTTCTCAATGATTTTAGTCACTCATCTAATACTCTCTCCAAAGGATGTCAACTATTTCATGATACAAAAATTTAGTGTTACCATATAATGCAATATAAAAATGAAAATTATTTTTTGCACTATTGTGTGGTAGAGGCAATAACTAACAGAAAGTCCAGGTATGGAAGGTTAATAAGGGCCTGAATGTTAAAGGATTCATGGACAGTGATAATATAATCAGAAACATGAACAATGGGGTGAAAAACAGGGCATGTCACTTCTGTTAGAAGCAGTGGAGACAGAAACAGTGAGGTCTTAATTCTTGGAGAGCAGCCCCATTTACAGGCTGTGTACAACCTAAATGAGGTCAGYTGAACATGGTGGGCATCCCTGCAATGTCCTGAAATACTACAGCAGCACTAGACAGATAACTTAGAAATAATTTGGGCACAGAGAAACACCAACTACTGAAACTGCAAATTGGTATTAAATTCTGAACAGAATGCTTAGCCATTCAGAACARGGTCTTAAAAACCAAAGGAGTTTGTTACTTTGCAGTGCTAGGGATTGAACCCAGAACCTTGTGGAAGTTTCGGAAGCGCTCTACCACTTGAGCTACATCCTAAATATTTGATTCATTTTAGATAGAGTTGAGAAATTATCCAAATCCTGAATTAGTAACAAAAATGTTATAAATAGTCAAGTATATATATGTGGTGTGGAAACTACAATACAGATACCTAAACAAAGCAAAATTTGTAGAACCACACATGCTTCAGATTCTGGAGTCTTTCAGATTTTGGATTTTTGGATTAGAAATGCTGATCATTTCTTGTAGATGTGGTGATACCAGTCAGTATTATATTTGCTCAATTTAAGAGAATCTTATCACAGTGGTAACAATACCCTGTATTTTCTCTGAGCCTTTAATGCCATAAGTATGCTATATATTACATGATGTATAATATACATGTATTACATATTATACATTATGTACCAATATATTATACAAGGTTACAATTTATCATAGGAAAATATGATTTAACAAATCAACCAAATGAACCACACCAACATTTTACTATTGACCCCTTTAAAATAGTTCTTATTTAAAATGTGCTTTGATTACTCAGATACATTTTTTATTAAAACTGCTATAATTCTAATAGACCCTAAAATAGGCATACTCATATTTCAACAAAACGGAAAAGAAAAACAGGCATTGTAAAAAACAAAAAAACAAAAAAACAAAAAAAAAACTCCCACTGTGGGCTGGTGTTGTGTGGCTCAGTGGTAGAGCACTTGCCTGGCACATGGGAGGCCCTGAGTTCGGTCTTCAGCATCACATAAAAAATAAAGTTAAAAAAAAAAAAAAAACTCACAAAGTTTTAAATGATCACAAGTTTAAACTGAAAATGGATACTTAGTCCTAATGACAGGATAACACCACCTCCAGTCCAGAACTCAGAACTAAAGATACATGTCAGCACTCCAGAGGAAAAGATTTCTCTGACTTCCTTCATTCTTGAAAACTGACTGCATTATTGCATATTAAGTTTAGAAAAAGCAAAAATAATATAACAATAACCAAAGCAACACGTCTTTCCCAATGCATGTCCAAACAGCATGCACTGAAACAGATGGTTCTTGGTCAAAGAGGATGGAGAGGCCTGGAAGTATCCCCACATTGTGAGGAAGAGGCCTTCAATCTATGCACCCAAGGAGAACTTCTTAGTTACTGAAGCAGCTCCTTTTGCTAAGCTTAGCAAAGTGTGATCTTCTATCTCTAATTGTCACTACAATTTGAATTTTTCAGCAGGTACTGATAGTGGCAAAGCAAATAACATGGTTTAAGAGTTATGTTTTTCCTTTAAGTAATTTTTCTAATTTGTCTTCTACCTTGTGTGAAGTTTGGCTTATTAATTCATTTATTATTAAACAAGATCAGTCTGAGTGACAACTACCTGTCAGGCTATGGTGATATGTTAGGCAAAAACAGACATTACTGAATTCAGTGTAGTGGCAGAGACAGTAAATGTTTAAATAGTCACAACATAACAAGAAAATAAAATAAACTCAAAATATTTGTAATTCTGAAGGAAAAGTACAGAGTATTACAAGTACCTAACARTGGAGCAAGGATCTTCTCAGAGCACCAAAGAGTGTTTTCTTGAAGAAGTGATGACACCAGTGAGAAAGGTGGGCTCATATTCAATAAGCCACACAGGTAACAAGGTGTTCGCACAAGTATGAAAGTTAAAGTATAAATTAAGAAACAGGGTTACAAAGATTGCTGTGGGTGATGTGATGCATGTTATTAATTYACATTAAATCACAGGACACATGGGGCAAACTCAGATGTCCAACAACATGTGATAAGACACTTGGGTCCACACCCCATTAGTCTGTTGCTCACTGTAACCACATGCATGCCATTTACCAAGAGCCTCAAGACTTGTTCTCATCTAGCTAATCCTTACTTTGGTTCCTAACAGCCAACACAACTCTTTCAGCAAAACAGAACACTATCAGAAAGTAAAGAGTACATAATACATATTTTAGAAACCAATTAATGCTACTTGTGCAATATCTCACATTTCTGGGTATGTGACCCAAACTATGGAACAATCACTTGGTGTTTTCTTGTTTTTATATCATTTTKTGTGTGTGCTATATCACAAAATAGGAAGTTGGCTGGGTTTTATCACAACTTGCTTTGCAAACTTTCAGGGTTCACCACCTGGAAAATTAGGGCAGCCTTTTTTCCTAAAGAACTTATATGTAAGTATCTGTAAGGTTAGGTGTGGTGGTGCATGCCTATAATCCCAGCGGATGGGGAGGCTGAAGCAGGAGGATCGCAATGGTGAGGAACTAAGAAACTCAGTGAGACCCTGTCTCTAAATTATATATATATATATATATATGTAAAATAAGTATTTGCAAACAGTAGCTCATGTGTCAGGACACATACAGCAAACAACCTTCAGGTGTAGTGGTATTTTACTTAGTGAAAAAATATCTTGGAAACACCATCCAGTACTTCAAAAGATCCCTAGTTTAGGTGCCTGTCACTGAACAAGTACACTTCTTAGGCATCATTAGCATTATGAAAAGCACCCACATCACTTACCCTCTCATTTGGCTAGCTTCAAGTAAATTAGACATATACTCAAATGCACCGTGAACTTTTGGAAATTCCAATTATTTCCTTGGAAATATACAAGATACATTCCCATTATGTATGCTTCAATTAAAGTTTACATAAGCAAGAATCTCTTAAGGTACCACTGAACATACAGGAAATAAAAAACATTCCCATCCATAAACATACAAAAAATAGAAAGTTTTAAAATATTGTCATCCTGAATATCCTGAGTTGTACAAGAATATGTCAACCAATTCTGCAATAAAATTGACTTGGAGGTATATTTGACTCACAAGTAATTATTCATGATAGTGCAGTTCAGAAGTTATGATTACTTACTATGCTGCAGAATCATTAAGCTGGTACTCTCGGGATCTGTTGAAACAGGCTTGTACACCGCTATCTTTCCACAATCTCTTTATAACTCCAGCAAGTTCTACAGTCATAAAGCCTTCTTCAGCAGCTCCAGCAAGCACAAAGAGTTGGCGGGCGTCATCCTGAACATTCAACAACCCATTTTTTAGAGAGTAAAAAGAGAGACATTAGAGATTAAAAAGTACAAATGGAGAGATTAGAGATAAAAACGCAATASTGAATTTCCTTATATTTTGATAGAAGTGTCCTAGCTTCTCTCTCTCTAAAACACCCTTAAGAAATTGGCTTAACCAAGAGAGTATAATCATAAATCAGGAGCTTATRTCTTATGGTATTAGCAATATTCGCCAACGCACCAGGAAGCTGCCAGAATTTCTTCAGTTATGGTACATGAAGGGGACCTGAGTTAACTATCTACACTTTTCTGTGTACTAGATATGATCATTTTTGAGAAAACAGAGGAAGAGTCTTGTCTTGCTCCTTCTTGCTCAAGATGTTTTCAATCTAAGAAACATAAAACACCATGAATGATTACATTAAATAGAATCCATTTAATTGTGAGCTTTATGATATAATTTATAGATGCAAAATATGTTAARAGAAAGGAAAAAATCAATGTGGAGTAAGGAAGAAAGGTTTCACACACACACAAAAAAAATGGTCTGTAGATTCACAGGAGACTTTAAAATGTATATACATCAAAACCAAGGAGGAAGCAGTTGGGAGCAGGTGTTTGCCAACTCAGGCAAGGAGAACAAAATAAGCACATCTTGGGAATAGAAATATTCAAGACACACACAGAAGACAACAGACAAAAAATTCTGAGCATACTGTCTATAAAGTTAGCTAAATAKGGCTTAAATATGAGGCTACTAATATTAAGTCTGATCTACAAGTAATCAACCACTCATGACCAGTGCTGTCAAAGAAAAAAAATGTAATGTAAGCAATAATGCGATCTAAATTTTCTAACCACCACTTAAAAGAAGCAAAACCAAAAAAGGTCACATGAAAATAATTTTAATAATATGTTTTGTTTAATCTATATACAAAAATATTATAACTCAACATGTAAACAATTAAGTTTATGAGATAATTCAAATTTTTATACATATTGTCTTCAAAATGTGGTGTGTATTTTACACATCCAGCACATGTCAATTCAGAATAGATACATTTTATTCACTCAATGGTATATGTACGTAGAAGCTACCTACCATACTTGATAATATCACTCTATCCTCCAGGTAATAACACAGCTAATTCAAAGTGAATGGAAGAAGGGAGAAGCTGCTATCTTCATAGAGGTTTTCATTAACCTGAGACATGTTAACTGGGTGGAAAATATTATTATCAAGGGGCATTCTTCCAGATACAGATGGCCTTCAGTTTTCTATGGTTTCTGTACTGCAGATCTAACAAACTTCAGATTGAAGATATTTGAAAAAATAATTGCATATGTACAAWTTTTTTTCCTTAATCCCTAAACAATACTATATAACAACTATTTATATGACATCTACATTGTATTTAGGTATTATAAGTATTTTAGAGAYGATTTAAAGTGTATGGAAAGATATGCATAGATTATATGCAAATATTGTGCCATTGTGTAAGATACTTCAGAATCTTTGGATTTCAGTATCTAATGATGGTCCTGGAAACAATCCCCCACAGATACRGAAGAATAAATGTATGGTACTAAATGCTTATAAAGAGGAGGAACACATTACGATATGGTATACAGAAGAAAAGATGCAGTTGGTGACACAGCTCAGAGCTGACAATGTAAATTCATCCTGCTGTCAATTTGTGAAGCATTTCCTTTTGGGCTGGAACTCATCATGAAAAATAATTAAGTCTCAGCATGGGAACATATTATTCAAGCATATGTTCCCCTTTTTAGTAAATCACAAGAGAAATATGGGCAAGCAAGCAACATGTGCATAATATCCTTAATAAACCCCATATATCATGGTTTCAAGTCATTCTGAAAACCACTAACCCAATTCCATTAAAAGACTATTCAATTTTCTAAATATTTACTCATATGTGAGAAATTTCTACATTTGATCATTTTTATTTATTAAACTACATCAAATAATTTCTCTGTTTTGGAAAAAAATGCTTTTCACTTAAGTATGCTTTTAAATGCATTTTGGTTATACTATCTTTATTCAATTTCAATAAATTTTTGAAAGGGAAAGACCAATGCCCTCCAGGATAGGTCAGGAGATCATTCTTGCCTCTAACTTTCTAGGAAGAAGCCTAAAGAAAACACAGAAGAAACTTTGGAAGCTCTATTTATAAACTGCACTTTCTGTGGCATTCAAAAATGTCTCTTCCTTTTTTTAGATTCAACATACAAGTGGGATCATGCAATATTTTTCTTTCTGTGTCTGGCTCATTTCACTTAGCATAACTTCCTCCACATTCAAATGAATGAACGAATGTCAAATATACAGAAAGACTTCAACAGCAGTGGGACATAGGAAGTGAGAAAGGAAATGAAGAGTTGTAGTTCAAAGGTCAAAGGAACAGACATGTAGGATGATCAAGTCCAAAGAAATTACAACATGCGAGCTATAAATAAACAAAAAAGTATTGCATCRGAAATTTTTGTTAAGTATATTTTAGCTGCTCTTGTCACAAAAAAATGTAACTATTTGAAATGAAGGATATGTTAATTTTCTTCAGAATAGTAACCATTTTACTATCCATATGTATCCCATAAGGTCAAATTCTAAACCTCAAAAATAGACAGTATTAAAATGCAAAATAGCTTCTACTGGAAAAATAACTAAAACATTCACCTCCATGTCAGTAGCTGAATGTTCAGATGGTGAAATTTGAGCTGGAAGGCACTGTAGAAATTATTCTATGTAATCTTTTGTTTTGTACAAAAAGAGCCCAAGGGCACAGAGAAGTTAGACAATCTGCTTAAAGTTTCACAGCTAAAAAGTCACCCAATGGTCATTTAAATTGGTAAGTCAACAATTGCTCAGTAGCAAGTGTCTAAAATAGGACAAATTTCAAAACTGTAGAATGGAAGCACTGATTTTATCTTGACAAGGAATGAGGTCTTCATAGGTTTGTATTAAAATTAATTAAGAACATTTATAAACACAAACATGAGGGTACCAAAAGGGTGTGGTACACAGTAGGAAAAGGGCAGGTATTACTGAAAACAAGATTGAAGTTTGATTAGGAGGTACAAAGGCTAGTAAATCAGTATACAGAAACTTTTTTGTGGTAATTAAAAAAAAAAAAAAAAAGAAGAGCACCTAGCAGGGGTGTGGCTCAGTGGCAGAGAACACTTGGCTTGTGCAAGGCCCTTGTTCAATTCACAGCATTCCCCTCTAAAAAATATAAATAAAAAAGTAAAGAAAAAGGAATGTTATTTGCCAAGCAATTATTTGAGAGTAGCAAGGGGAAAAGAAATTCTTGGATGTAGCCAAGTTAAAATGTTTTTAAATTACTAAGGACTAAATGAAAATAAGATGGTTCAGAGAATGCAAATTTCATATAACATACACATATAGCTCTGCTTTGAAAACTCAAAAGAAGCTACAATATGTTATTGTGTCTAGAGAGAAGTAACCAGTCTTTTTCCATGAAAATCAGATAACACCTAGTATGCAGTACTTTCTTGCTGTTTAGTGATGTGCATTATATGTGCAGCTATCATCCACTTGATCAAATCCACGAATCTGTTCAGGATGGGGGAGGGGAGATGCTGAGGGACCACAATGGCTATCCTCTGACATACTAAAGATCATAAAAGGTAAGAAGGAGTAAACTTCCTGTTGAGCTTAGAGCAGAAAAAGGCGCATTCTTAAGACAAAAGATATAAGCTTTCAACTGAATATTGGGAACACACTTTAACAATCACAGCAACCTAAAAGAATAAAAAAATGGACAGAAAATTTTTCCTTTTTTCTTTTTGCCCCTTTCAGTTCTAGAGATTTAATCCAGGGGAATTTGACACTGAACTATTCCCAGACTTTTGTTTGTTTGTTTTTTAATTTGTAGAGAAGGTCTCACCGAGTTGCCCAGGCTGACCTCAAATGTGCATTCCTCCTGCCTCAACCTCCCAAGTAGCTGGGATTACAGGCATGTGCCACTGCACCAGGTAATGCAGAGGTTGGGGGATTTAAACAGAAGCTAGACAACATAGCAGACAAAACTTATGGAGGAGATTGAGTTTACATAAAAAATATCAAAAAAGACATTCTAATGTATAGACTAAATAATATTAAAAAATAGTGATATCTATGAATTTTGAGTCATAGGAATAAGAGATTAATGTCAAGGYTGACTTATAAATGAATGTCTTGATTCAGTGGCTTATCTTAAACCACATAGGATAAAAACTTCTCATTATTTAATCTACCATACTTATATAGCATACCATTTTACTCCAATAAATTTAAAACAACTGTACTGTTCTATTGTATCCTTAAGGAAATCTTAAGAACTTTAATGTGTTCATCACACCATGGCTCATGGTGCCCATTATAAGATGTTAAAGGGTTGCTTTAAGAAACAAGTATGTGTCAAACACACATTTTCTGTAAAAACACAAATCTAAGTAAAAAAGACTTGAGGCAAGAAAAAAGGCAGTCATTATTCTTTTTTTCATAAGATTGTTTAAAAGGGGAAAAAAGCCTAAAAATAAAATAAGTTAATTTTAACCAAATTGCAGAGAGCAAAAATTTTAACTAAATTGCAGTGCATTTAGTATGAAGCATAAGCTTCATTATATCAAGAAGGAAAATTACTGATAAAATGTATGACACAAATATAATTTTAATGCCTATTCATGAATATTATATATGTATACATATTTTCAAAATATAAAATAAAGAAATATTGATACTTATATGTTCTTTATATGAATAACAGAAACTGTTGTCAATGGAGATACAGAAGAATGTGGTAAGAAGTGAAATGAGGAAGGTAGAAATATGAAGTGCTAGAAGCACACATTATTTTTCAAGTAACTATCAWTTTTGCATATATTGATATTTCTCAAAAGGAAAACAGTATAAAAGTATAAGTTCCTTCATTTTATGTCTCAAATATAAATCAGGAGCTGTAATAAATGACTCAAATATTAATC